CAAGAGTAGTGACAGCTGCCCTATGTCCACTGTTCCTAGAGACAGAACCACCAGCTCCTGTCGTGACATCCTCACCAGATGTATTCCTACACCAGGAGGCAGCAACAGGAACCCGAGACCTCTGAACATCGTCTCGTCCCAGGAGAGAAATGTCTTCCCCTATCTTCAGCCAGTTGTGGTAGGGGTCTCCTCACTGGGTAATGGGAAGCAGCCTGCACCTCCAGCCCCACAGGTGCAGCTAAAGTTTACTGGTGGGGGGATACCAACTGGAGGATGCTGGGATGAGGATCACACCCAGGGCTCCTCCTGGGCTTGATGGAAGCCTGACTGCAAGGACCTGGTGGCAGGAGGCTAGTCTATTATCACCCAGCCTGCATCATAAAGTCATAGGGCGCATCTACATGTGCAAATAAGAACAACTAAGTTTAATGCATTAAGCCAATGAGCATTAAGTGATTTTTGGCAGATGTCTACGTGTGTAGGGCCTTGAGACTAAAGTTAGTCCCATGTCCCTCTAGTCCTGTCCTGTGCCCCTGTGGCTCCAGCCTCTGGCTTGCTTCTGACTTCAGTCCATGAAAGGACTCATTTTGTATGAGAACAGGGGCTGTGAAAAGAGAGTCTGAGAGACCCAAATCTCCTAATCTAATCATCCAAAACAGATTAATGGCATCCCCAGCTGTGGGAGAAGAGGGCCGACTCCACTAAAAAAAAAAAAAAAAAAAAGGATTGGGCCCCTCTCTGCTTCTGCCTTCAGCAGGCACCTGCGGTCACCAGAACAATCACTTTTACACAGTGATGGAAATTGGAACCATGAGGTTTCAATTAAAAACTCACCATTTTAATTTAGGGAGCATAGACAGCAACCCAAAGGATTACACTCCCATCGTGTGTACAAGCACGCAAGGAGCCCAGCAGACAATGCCAGTTTATACCCTGAGGCACTGTAACATCCTGCCAAGGTACATCAGAGCACCATTGCACTGGGCCCTGCCTCATGGAGAAGCTTCAGGTAGCCCCTATGACATGGCTTGAGACTGCTGGTGACAGTGGTTCCCACACAGCAGCAATTCTGGGTGGGCTCGGGATGCTAAGGAGGACTGGTGCCATCAGTTCCCAGAACAATGGCCCATCCCCAGCTTTGGGACTCTTGCAGGGGTGGGTCCTGCATGCTTGCAGCTGGTGGTTGAGACCTGTCTTCAGGCAGCTGACTCTGTCATGAGAGTTTTGATGGCAGATGTGTATTTTGTTACACATTTCACATTGTGACTAGTGATGAAAAACTGCTTTTTCATCATGGTGACACAAACAAGCAGTCACTGCAAGTTGAGCAGCTTCCTGGAGATTCACACTGTTGATATAATCAGAGCTGTCCTGAGCAGGGTGCAGGCCCGGGGCAAATCAGCCCACGCAGGGCCCGCCTCCGCTCTGATCCCATGCGCCCTGGACCGGAAGAAGCTGCCACTGCCATTGACGGCAGCAGTGGTGGCGGTGGCAGGGGGTAGCGAGCGGTTGGGTGTGGGGCCGCTGCTCTGCCCAGCTCTGCGTCACCACTGCTCTGCACAGGGTCCCCCAAAGTGCAGAGCCCAGGGCGGTCGCCCCAATTTACCTCCCCAGGGACAGCCCTAGATATAATCCCTCCCTTTCTCCCCCTCCATCTTTCAATTTCACATTACTTGGTTCTTGCTTTGTGTGTTCCGGTGTATTTTAATGTACTCTCTGCCCATTTCCTGCCTGTCACCGTTCAGAGCTCGTCTTGCTTACCAAGCCCTTCCTTTTCCATTTTCTTTCCTTTTCTTTTTGGATGCTGTTCTCTTCTCTATGCAGCAGCACTGAGAGGTAAGCAGAGCAAAGAGAGCTTTGCTCTATGAAGGTGCAAGCTTCATGAAAGCAAGCTCTATGAAGGTGTTCCAGGCAGCTGCGGGACCTGGTGGGGGCTGTGGGGCACACGAGAGTGGCACAGGAAGCAGGGAGCCCAGGAGCAGGAGGAAGTGTTAGGACCTAGAGGCCTTCAGGCCTGGGTTTGACTTTTGTGCTCAGCTGAAACTGCATGCTTAGCTTGAATTATGGTCAAGACCTGCACCCAGTGAAAGGAGCAGATGGGAAAATACTGTTCCTGATTTAAAATGAATCCGGAAGATGGCTAACCCAAGTGAATAAATATAACTTGGGCAAAAGAGGAATAGGCAGAGCATGGGCAATTGGTTGGTGCCTCCCAAGTCTGGGGGAGCACCAGATCACGTTTGGAGTTTTGAAGCTGAGGCTTGCCTGCAGGGAAACAGAAAGTAAGGAGAGGGAGGGGGAAGGACTGCTCTCGTATTGACTTTTACTGTTTGGCTGCCTGAGATGCTGCTGGTGCTTGTGTGCTGCTCACTAAGTTATTTCAAACCGGTGAACTGGTCTGAGGCTGTAGGGGAGGAGGAGCCCTCATTGGGGCACACTACTGTGTTGTGTAGAGGCCCCAGCACTAGTGAGGGCGTACCTTAACACACACAGTCACACATCGTGAGTTTTGCTTGTCAGCAGCTTGAGGTGCAGCTTTCCAGAAACCCCTACATCTATCTCCTTGATACTTGGCAGGTTTCATGCCCTCTGACATCACAGAGGGGGGAAAGAACAGATGCGGGGGTTGTTATTATTTTTTTTAATGAACAGAGGGGTTGGGGAAAGGAAATTTTCTGTGAGCTGCACGGGAGATTGGAAATGGGCATGGATTACATTTAGAGAAAAAGTCCAGCAAAGGGGTGGAGAAGCAGCATTCGGTTCTTGCTGGGCAGCTGGGATTGGGCTGAGGACAAGGAGAGAGTGGTACCCTGGAGCAGGACAGGTAGGCAGGGATTGCAGCTCTGGCTCTGGCCCCAGCCTAGTGCTGTTACTGCCCAAAGATCCCAATTCTACCTGCCCACAGCCCCATCCTATCCACCTGGTTGTGCTCCCTACCCATGTGGGACCTGCCCCGGGCGGTGGGTGCGGGATGGATGGGCCAGGGTGCCTGGGCAGCAGGGTTAGTTCTAGTGACAACGGTAACCAGAAGGAGCTAGCATCACCAGGGCTGCCGGGAAATGAGTGCGGTGAACATGCCATCCTAGTCCTGCTGCATGCTGCGAGGCAGCAGGACCGGCCTTACCACAGCCTGGGCTGCCCCCAATGCCTGGAACAGATGTGACCAAGGGACCCGCTGCTAGCCCCTTGGTGGGCTGGATCTGGCTCATGGGCAAATATTAGCAGCACTGACCAAATAAAATGCCCAGGACACTACAATTCATGCAGCATTACAGCTGTTATCAGTTACACTGTCTGGACACAGCTCAATCAATCAAAAACAGGATTTAAAAATGCTCCTGAAATCCCCTGGAAGCTGGGCAGCTACAGCTGCCAGAGGGCTGCCTCTGCCTCCCTGTTTCCTTCCACTCTGCACCCCTGGGGGGCAAGGGGTCCCTGCCAGGGGGTGCTGTTTGTCCCACAGCTGGAGAAGGAGGGAGGGGAGGTGGGGAAACAACAGTATTCCAGGGAGGTGCAGCTAGTGAATGTGTTCACGGCTTCTGACAGGCTGGGGTGGGGGATGCATCTCCATGCAATAGAGCCAGATTTATGGGGGGCATGCCCCATGCAATAGAGCTGCCTTGGGGGGCGGGGGCACTATGGAGCCACTGGGGTGGGGGAAACATGGGTCAGGGTGCTGCACTTTGTTTTCCCTCGCAGTTAGAAGCATCCTGACTTATGCGTGGCATCATGGTGGCTGCCACCTGATAGGCACATGGGTCATGGTGCCTCCAGCTGCGGGGGAAAGTGGGCTGCACCCCCTGAAGCCTGCACTCCCTCAAGCGGCTCCATTGCATAGGGAGGGGTGCATCCCCCCAAGGTGGGTGCTCTGGGAAAAAGCAGGGGTCCTCAACTTCCCTCCAAAACAGAGTTTGGTAGTGTGCAAGCAAGTCCAGGCACGGGCTGTGCAGGTGAGGCATTCAGGGAAACTGAGGCATGGGCTGTGGGTTGGGTGGAAAGCAGCAGTGGCAGCCCAGAAGCAGAGGGCAAGCAGCACCTGCAACTGCTCCCCCCACAATTGATCCTGTGACCGCATCCCCCCAAGAGTAATAGCAGGGAGGTGAGCTTGACAAGACGGCTTTCCAAAGCAGGAGTTGGAAAATCTGGGGAGTTCATGGGGATGGTGGGGAGAGGCCAGAGCACCTGGCCTCCAGAAAACACAAAAATGACAGCATACAGCCCCGCAGCACCTGGTAAACCCTTCATTCCCTCCCTGCCCCCCCCACAGTGCAGGTCTCCCTCCCCACCCCCAG